AAGAGAAAGGAAAAGTTTAACTTGATACACGATCAAACACTCTCAATGAAAGCACCAATGATGAAGATCGTGTATCCGCTCAACTTGATTTGCCGTGAAACCCGCGCCGACGCCTTGGTCTCGAAGCGATAAGTGCTAATACGCGCGCCGACGCCTTCGTACTTCGCGATAGGTGTGAAGAAAATCGGATGTTGGTCCTATTTCTAGCACGATTTTGTATGTAAATCACACACGAGATTTGGTGATCGAAACGATCGATTTTTCTTATTACTTGAATGATAAAAATTGAATGACAATGGGTAGTATTTATAGGGACTAAGTAGATCTAATCCTATACTGGCTAGAATTCTAAATTATGAAAGAGAATAAACTTCTAAGGAAACTAAACATCCTAATATCTAATAATTAATTAACTAAATAGGCACATGTCTTTATTCAAGATCTCCTAACCAAACTAGAGTCCTAATTATGCTAATAAAATCGGATCCTCCACTATTGCTTGCGCCGCACGCCGGTCCAAACCCTAGCCGCGTCGTGCTACTCCTAGTCCTCGGGGGACTTGCGCTCGCCCGTGCCCCACGCGTCTCGCGCGTCGTCGACCGCGTTCCGCGTGTGCCCCATCGTGCCACGCGCGCGCTCCATATTCCGCGCGTCGACCTGACCCCAAGTGGTCGGCACGTGATACTCCATCTGCTCGTGTCCTTTGTCCCACTCGTCCATCGCATGGCCATCGTCTTCCTCTCGCGGCGCTTTCTTGCGCGTAGTCTCTGTCGCGCGACCCTGCCTTACGCGGCTTGCTCCCGCGCTCCTCGTCATTAGGGATGTCAATAAAACCCATAGGGCCGGGTTACCCGCGGGTTACCCGCATTTTTGGGTCGGGTAAACCCGAGATGGTCGGGTTTCGGGTCGGGTTCGGGTAGAATTATGCTACCCGAACACCGGGTCGGGTCGGGTGTGGGTATAGTAGGAAAACCCGTTACCCGACCCGATTACCCTACCCGTTGACCCGCAACCATTGAATTTTATATATGCATATATGTAAATATACATTTATAATTTATTATAAATATAAAAGTAATCATGTGTTATTAATATTAAAAATTAGATTATTTATTATAATTTGATCAATTGTTGAATTTTATTTTATTTTTTATGGTTTTATTATCATTTTTTGTTAATTGTACGATAAAAAAATTAAATACTTTATTTTTAAATGTTATATTATTAAATAGACTATAAAAGATAAATAATTATATCTCATTATTTATTTCAGAAAATAATATAATTTTTTTTATAGTTTTTATTGTGAAACTTAGTTAATAAATTATTTGTTACATTATAATTAATTGTAAAATTATTTTATTTTATTTTTTCATATGAAACGAGATGGGTCGTGTAAAACCCAAATTTAAGAACTCGGGTTACCCGTTTACCCGACGAAAACCCACTAACCCGCCGGGTAAAACCCAACCCGAACCCGAAGATCACTAACCGGGCAACGGGTCGGGTTTAGGTAGGGTAAATTATATGCGGGTCGGGTTCGGGTTCGCCTAAACCCGTACCCGACCCGACCCATTTACATCCCTACTCGTCATGCGACCCACGCGTATTGGTGGCCTTCGCGTTGCGCGATCTCTACGTGCGTGGCCATCCCTCGCGTTGCTGGCCTGTGCGCCTCATCACCGGGCCTACGCGTATTGCCGGTGCGCGCACCGTGCGCCTGTTATGCTCACGCCATTTTATGCGCGTACGTGCCCTCTTTCTACGGCCTCTCGGCCTGTTCCGACGACTTGCGCACATTTTTCCTTGGTCATCGTAGGCCTCGTCCTCGGGCTCGAATGGGTCAATGACCACATTTGCATCATCGCGCCAGCCCGCGTTGCCGCACCTAGGCCCCGTGCCATGCCCAGTGCCCAGCGCCCAGTGGGCTGGCAGCGCGACAGCACTTCTTCTTGGGCCCAAATGGCAAAGTTTCGGCCCACTTTCACCCAAGACCCATTCATGCGTGTATTATACACTTAATAAGGATTAGTTTAAGCTAAAATGGCCCTAAGCAAAGTGGACATGTGCCTTGCATTATTATATTCAAGATTCCTTTGTCCTTGTCCCTCCACCCTCGTGCCAGACCTGACCTGACCCCTCCTGTAACGCCCCACTTTATTTGCCGAAAATTAGAATAAATTTTTCAAATTTATTTCAAAACACCTGAGACGCTACTCATTTTCAAGACGAACTTCAATACTTAATCCATATTTCAATAATCAATCAATCTCAATACTCAATCCTCAATCATCATTTCAATTTTCAATAATTCAGTCATCATTAATCAATACTGCAATCCAATACCCAAACCGGGTTTCCAAAATTTATAATATCTAGGAGGTACACTCCCTATCAATAATCCAATATTCAATATTCCAAAATGCAATAATATTAAAAGCAAGTTCAATAGGCGGAAGCAATAATCAATTAAATAGACCACCACTCGCGTCCCTCTGCCGTGCCCGCAACACTAATCTGCATCCATGAAGAGCAGGTGGGGATGAGCACAAGAGGAAACAGTAGTGCTCACCACTATGCAGTAAACGTTATTCACAATAATGAAGCAGTAATCAATAATCAATAGGGTATGGTCACAGCATGTATACGAATCAATTAATTATCCCAGTCTCCCATCAATAATATCAATAACAGACTCATGTGCACACCTACGTATAGACTACTGCCGACTATATATCGAAAGCCCACCGGTCTTACATCGCGTGTCCAGCCAGTAGGAGTAACCCGCCAGCCAAGGCCTCACCTTGGTCTTACCAACGGGGTTGTCCAGCACAGGGACCTTTAACCCAGGTCTTACGGCTCAAAGTGTCCAGCACAAGGACCTTTAACCCAGGTCTTACGGCTCAAAAAAAGGAGATTACCCTACGGGTACGTTCTATAGCTACGGGGATAACCGACGGCCAGTACAGCTCACATCGAAGGCTACATGGTTCACATGCATACATTGATCATACCAAATTTAAAACAGTAATAACATTTACAGTATAGACAATTTTAGAATAACAACCCACCTATTACTGCAGAGGATGATGGTGAATGCACGAGCAAACAAGGGCGAGGGCCCGACTCCTCTTAATCTACAAATTAGGGGTTTACATGAATAAGGATTTTAATTGACAGGCAGAGAGCACAGAAAATTAAACACGTACCACGCATATTGCAGATAAAAGCACATAATTCAGTCAAATAAAAGCAGATAAGTTCACATAAAATTCTAACTTCAAATCTTGAAGTACCTCAAAGAGTACTTAAACTCATAAATCAAAAACAAATACCTCAATCTATATCCTAACTCAAAAGCAAGCTTACAGTATCTTGCTGATAAACAATTAAATACATACAACTCAAATGTTCATTCTAACCACTTAACAAAACCTGCAACCAAAACTTTTTCTTTCTTTATACTTACACCAAAAGTTTTCGATTTCGAAATATAATTAAAGCCTTAAAACTGAACACAACCCTCAACAATTAGGCAAAACTTTTAATTGTGTATATTATATGATGGAATATAAAACTGTGTACATTATATGATTAAAATAATGGAAAATAATGTTAACAACTCCTTAAAGCAATATCACTTTTAACTTCAAGTACGACCACAAATATAATAAATATTACTGTTGCATATAAATCCACATGCCGTAGTGAAAAATCTATCTATCATTATATAAAAAGAATAACTTTTTTACAAATTTAGAAACTTTTTCCCGCCAAAATCATTAAATATATCTTAATATAGTAATTGTTGGACAAATCTAAATAAACAAAAAAATCGACTCATTTTTTTTAGTTTATCAAAACCATTGTTTGACAATAAATATTTGTTTTTCTTTTTCCTATTTTTTGTATAAATCTACATGCTTATCTCTTCTGTTACAAAATCCCATTGCATACGTCTCCCGTGTTTAAAAAAATTCATCCCTTATCTATACAGATTTAAAAGAATAAAATAAAATAGAAACCAATTCATAGTTACTACTAGAAATCCATTATCTTTAAAAAGAAAAAATAAATTAAAATAGAAACCAATTCATAATTACTACTGAAAATCCATTATCTACTTTAAGAAGCTAATTTTTATCGGTCTAATTACTAATATTTTTACAAATATTATAAGCTAACCATACAAAAAAGTATAATAATAATTTTGAAATGGTGTGTAATCAAATTTTTTTATATTATCTTATACAAAATAATTTTACATTGTTTGACCCTAAATCTTTAATCTATAATTATTAAGTATTCTTTATCTTCCTCTTTAATTTATAATTATTTTTTTTGCTTTCTTTTTTTAAATAGGATCAATAGTAGTTTCCACTTCGGTCATTGAGCGACTCAAACTCGAGGTCTATTTATAATATTGTTAATTTAATATTGTTTCCGTGCATCGCACGGGGTATACACTAGTTATTTTTTATTCAAAGTATATATGTACAAGAACATAATTTTCAGTCGTCCACATTAATGCTTCTCACGCATGGATGCATTGGATGATAGTACTAACAGTAAGTAAAACTCATAAAGCACAAGTTATTACATTTGATCAGAAATAAAAACATGGAATTACACCAATAAAGATTCAGCATAACAGAATTAATATAAAGCCCAAATGCACATCAATTTTAAAAATTCTGTTTCTTTTTTTTTTTTCTTCCCTTAAATAATCCAACAACAAAATCCAAGCCTTCCTTTCTCTTCTTTCTTAAATCTTAGACAAATGCTAATGNCAATAATTAACCTACTTTAAGCACGCCTTTGAAGTTGAGATTTAAACATAAAAACCAGCACAACAGCAACATGTTTCAGGCACCAAAGATAGCCATATTCAACATCCTCTATAAACACAGCATATACTAAGGCTATGTAATCACATAATATCGATCTAAGGTCAGCCTTTTTACCTTCTTCGAAAGTCAAATTGAAGGTTCGGGCGTGCTATGGTGACTGCTCGGTTGCTGCTCGGAACCGACGAGGCGTGTAGCGGTGGCCGGAGGGTGCTGCAGCGGTTACCGGTGAGTTCTCGATGTCGAAGGTTGCTGGCAGGTCGCGGCTTTCCTCGACGGGGCTCGGCTGAGGCTCGCGGTGGCTCGGTCGCAGGTCGAGGACGTGGCTGAGAAATCGAAGGTTCCCGAGTTGCCGAAGAACGGGCTGAAAAAGATTGCCATCGAGAGCTCGAATTCGCCGAACGATGGTTTGGGCTCGTGAGCATCAACGTCCCGACGGAAATCGAGTGTTGGTGCTCGCACGCTGTGGTCGTCGAAAGTGAACGAAGCACAAACGAGTCGCCAGACAGGGAGAATAGGTCGTCGGTCGTGGAAGTCGCTCGCTGAATTGACAGAGACGCTGGAGGACGTCGGCGAGGGGAATCGGCAATTTACGGTGGTCGCGATGGTGGTCGGGTGTCGCGGATTCCGGCCTTGCGAAGGCTTCGCTGGGATTGGTCAGGACTTGCAGTTGTTCGCGTTGTAGGGCAGCGTGTGGCGGTTGGTCGTCGGTGAGGACTCCTGAAGGTCGCAACTGTGCAACGCCGGCGACTGGAGGAACAAGGCGAGAGATTTTGACGAAAGGGGAAAAGAGTTGCGGCTGATTTTGTTTTGAGAAGGAGATGAACTTCTCTTGCGTGTAAAAAGAAAACAATGGGCTAAATGAGTCGGGTTCAAACAATTAAACTGGGCGAGTCGGTTTCGCAGGTGGGCCTGTTCGCGCGAAGGCTCAAGGAACGAATCGGTTCTCGGGCCCGACTAGACGTAAAATTAATTCGGTTTGGCTCCAAAATTATTCGCACGATAAAAATAAATAACTCGGATATTATATATATTTATAATACACACAATTTAATTTTTAAAAATAAGAATATAAATAAAAATACAAATACACATTTTTATTAAAAATAATAACATTTAGACAATTAGACATTTAATCACAATCTGGCAAAAAAATAATTTTAGACATTTAATAATATTTAGCATTCAATTAATAATAATAATAACAAGAAATAAAGATAAATAATAATAATAATAATAATAATAATAATAATAATAATAATAATAATAATAATAAAAAAATAATTTCCAAATACTCCATAGTCAAACGGGGCATTACACCTCCACCATGATTTTTATACTCTAATATAAGCTCAAAGACCGTGCAAAGTCCTGCCTTAAGCATGCCCAAGGTCTTTGACCTAAATTCCATGCCATGAGATGGAATTCCCACTTCATTTGTCCCCCACAAAGTCACCTAGCTATCTCCGCCCAAACCAGTACTTAAGGAGCCTTCCTTTGTCCCTTGTAAGCTCTTACACAACTAAAAGCCCGAGCATACTGTTGACGGACGTTTCCGGTCAACGGTTAAAAAGTTGAGTAATGGAAAGGTAACATGAAAAAGACAAAGAAAATACGGTTCAATTATGATTTTATTAAAGATCACGAGGTCGGCCTCTCGTACGAGGTCGGCACTTGCGATATACTTACAATTCTTACACAAATTCCTTATAAGTCTAGAGAGAGAAAGTATAGAGAGAGAGTTCAGACAGTTGGGATTCAACAACCCAAAAATAAATAAAGGGGTTGCTATTTATAGTGCTCTTTAATGCGGCACTGTTCAGGTACTGTTCACCGGTCTTGTCGTACAGTAGTTCGGCGGGAAAGGCCGGCGTTTCTCTGACTGATTGTGAGTGATTTCCGGGTCTTCCAGTCATTACCTGCAACGCATTTAATGCTGGGTGTGGGCTGCATTTAATGTGGACATACTCTTGAGCCGGGCTAGACGTTCTAGACCTGCTGACTAGCCTGGGATGTCCTTTCGGCAATCATTAGTTCGTCAAGTGGCCTTATTTTATTGTTTTCTGGATCCTTAACCCCAACGAGGGTCGAGCCAATAGGGTCTCGAGCCGGGCTATAACAGCGTCCATCCCTCGGTTTCCCAGACCCCACACCCTAAGTAGGTCAGCCCTATGACGGGTGTGGCAAGGTGCCGACCTCGGGGTGTGGTGTCGTCCGAGGCTCCAATCAATTTTGACCATTTCTCAGATCGGCACTTTCCAATTGTCACGGTACCCGACCTCACTAACCGGGCCGGCCTTGCCCGGTTTTCGGCCTTCCGGACCGTTACCCTTATGGAAACCCGAATCGGACGTCAATATACACCTGGGACGACAGGGTGCCGACACCAACAGAAAGGGGGCGGGGTGCCGACCTAGATACTAGCCCTGGCAGCCATCCCCTTTGACTTTGATTTCTGCTAAGCTCGGCTCCCACGAGCGATCTTGGTGACCGATTTCTTCGGTTCGGCTGGTCGCCGACCGGCTCCCAATCTCTCGGATCGGTATCCTAATAGGAGCCGGACTCGGATATTTACATACAGGCCCCCGAGTTCGGGTGAGGCCTGCCGTGCCTCTCCCGAGGTCGTCTCTTATCAGTTGAATCTGAGCCGGGCTCACCAGACTCGTATCCGGTCTTTTCCAGGATCGGCACCTGCACTACACTTGGTGCATATGAACGACAACCGAAGAGACGCCTTAATTGCGACCACACGAGGGCGACACGTGGCAGCCAGACAACCAAGTATTTCGAAAGGACGTAACGATTGGCTATAGGACGTGACGGTTGGCTTCCTTGGGACGTTTCATCTTTTATTTTGAATTTTGAAATTTGTATTTATCCGTTTGTACACGTGCCTGTAGCTCATTGGGTGGTCAGATCTATATATAGGGGACTTTGGCAGGTCCGAAGAACTTTTTAGCAACTTCGAAACTCGTGACTCCAGCACAAGTTCTTCCCGATTTTTCCGGCAGATATCCCCGAGCTTTTTCTGGCGACTTGTTTGGGTAATTTCTCGATCCTTTTCGCCTTTCTTTCCAATTTTCTCTTTTCCTTCCAATGTCTTCATCTCCGAAATCCGCCGCCGACGTTAACTTCCCGGTCGAGGGCGGCGATTCCTCCGGCAGCGCGGCGAATAGGGTCGAGGGCGCGGTTCCTCAGCCGTCGCCTTCGGTCGCGGGTACCGTTATTGCGGCAATCCCGATCTCCACGGTTCGGCCGAACCAGCCGACGGGCGTAACCTCTTCCGGCGGCGATGGTGCCGACGAGTCTCGTTGTCCTCCGGCCTCGTTGCGTGGGGACGAGGATGTCGACCTAGACGAAGTCGACATCGACTTTCTGAACTCTGAATCCGACGTTGACCAAGACCTCGTGGACGAGACACTCCGGGGCGATACCGGGGGTCGAGAGCGTGTCCCCATGGGATTGGGGGACGCGGCTACCGATGCCGCCCTCGAAGCCGCGACGGTCGCTCCTCCTGGGTTTTGGTGCCGACCTCCTCGTGTCTGGGCGACTCCGAGCAACGTGGCGGCTTGGGCCACAGAGTCGGTCCTGGACGATACCGACCTGGCTCAGATGCGGGGGAAGTATAATTTCGGCCCCGGAGTTCGGATCTTCGCACCGTATCCCGGGGAGCGGATTCATTGTCCACCGCCGGGCTGCATCGGGGTCTACCGAGATAGCATACAGCTGGGTCTCCAGTTTCCCCTGCTCGACGCATTGAACGATATCCTCAGCGAGCTCGAGGTCGGCATTAGCCAATATATGACGACGGTGTTTGCTCGGCTCGTGGGCCTGATCGTCTTGTTCCGCCGTCAAGGTTGGCCCGACCCTACAGGCGACGATGTCAAAGCTTTGTTCTCTTTCAAGCGTTCAGGTGACTCCGGCAACTACTACAGCTCGGTGTTGCCGGGTGTCGACAAGACGTTGGTAGCCAAGCTGCCGGAGACTCTTCACGGCTACATGCCAAAATGGTTCTGGGTCGGCGGCGAGTGGAGGACCCAGGACGCACCTCGGCACCCACCTACTCACTTTAGTTCTCATGCTAGTAAGCTTACCTCTTTTTCCTTTGCCATCTGCTGATTCCTCCTTTTTGTTCTAACAGGTCGTAATTTACGTTTTCAGTCCGCAGCGCGAGCCCAGCACTCAGCTCTTCTCGTACCACCAGAGTCGAAACTTTGTTGAGGCTTGATCCGGAAAGGCGGCACTACTCGACACTCACGAAAGAGGAAAGTCTGCTCGACAACAACCTCAGCCCGGTGATTATTGATAAGTCCTTTCAGCCAGGTACTGTATTACCCCTCTGATTTATTGTCGACAGCTTCTGTCTTGTTTCTGACCGTCGTTTATCCGCAGTTTACTATCCCATCTTTCGCTCGAAAGGGTTTGAGTCTGCGAAGGCTGCTAACAAATACCGACGCAAGTACCCCAACCCGTTGAAAGCCAGGACCAAAGCCGCCATGTCAGGCCGTTTGAATTTGGCGAAGAAGAGGGCGGCGCTCAACCAGGAGCCGGCACCTGGGGCGAACCCTATCGCTCGCCAAGTCCCGCGCGTGCTAGTGCCCGAACCGCGCATGACGAGGCGCCGGACCAGGGAGGAGCCGGTCGCAGCCGACGACGTTGCTCAGGGCGGCTGCGCCGAGAGTTAGGCCGCCGCCAAGACGAAGAAAGGCGCCGAGGCGCAGAGGTCGGCCCCGGGCAAGGAGAAGGTGGCCCATGCCCACCAGGATAGGGCGAGCTCCTTTGTCCCCATCGATGCCGAGCGGAGGGCTCGGGTGGCCAAGGCCCTCCCCGGCTTTCCGGACGACTGGTTCCTCGACCTTCGGGCCGCTGATGGGGTTTCGGTCCCGAACGAGTTCGGGGTACCCGAGGAGGTGGTGAGGGCGGCTCGATTCCCCCTAGTCGCTTGGACGCCGACCGCCCAGGCCGGCGTTTCTCAGCTCTCCACCCCTTCGCTGATTCAGCACGCGGCGGGGACCATTTCCAGAGCTTTGGTCGAGCTCGTCCAGGCTGCCGACCGGTCACAGAAGACCCTTGCCGACCATCGGAAGCTGGAGGCCGACCACGAGCTTTGCCGTGGAAAGATTGCCTCTCTGAACACCACAGCGAAGCGGGTCTCGGAGCTGGAGAACCGTCTCGTGCTGGCCGAGGCCGAGGCGGAGAAGGCCAGGGAGAGGGAGTTGGAGGCTTCCCGGTCGGTGGCCAGGATGGCCGAGGAGCTAAGGAAGGAGAGGGCGGCCTGGGCTGCTCGGGAGTTCGAGCTCGGGGAGCAGCACGCTAAGGCGATGACTGAGGAGTTTGACCGGCATGTGGCCGAGCTTGACAAGCTTCAGACCCACGTTTTCAGCCTTCAGAAGCAGCTTGAGGCGCACACTATCGAGTTGGAGAAGCACGCCGCCCTGGACGCCTCGGAGGATGGCTGGCCCCGTATCTCACTCCATCTGCCGACGTACCCGGAGGTCTAAGAGCTGTTCAGTAAGGATATCATGGCCGACATGGACTCCGGGGTCGGCTACAACCTCTTCTGGCTTTTCCAGCGGCTCGACGCCGGTCTACTCACCTTAGAGGATTTCCGCGAAATCATGCGGGCGAAGATCTCTAAGCATGGGCTGGAGGCCGAGTTTGAGGGGCTTGTGTGCGAAGTCAACG